CCCCACGGTGGGCCTGGGTAACTCTACCTCCCTCCACCAAGAGGCCAGGAAGGGGCTGAAAAGGCAGCTTGAGTTCCCACCTCCCTGAGGTCAGGAAATGGGGGGCGGCCCTTCCTGCAGGAGCCTCAGGAGGGGCAGAGAAGGGCGCCCAGAGCACTGGCCCCATATGGGGTGAGGGACCGGTTCACCATCCATCGCACACAGCCAGATCTGACCCAATAAGCCAAGGCAGCTGTCCTATCTCAAGGGCCAAGGTCCCGAGAGAAGACCGGCTAACCCCGAGACAGCCCGCGCCAGTGACGGCCGCAGAAGGAGGGGGACACAGACACAAGGCCAGTGAAGGCCTTCACGAGGCCCAAGCGCAGGGCACACGCACCAGACTCCCAGAGCTAAGAAGTGAAGGGTCTCCCAATGGAATTTCAGTAAACGAACTGACGGAGGAGAGTCATGTCGAGACGCAAATCAGAAGTGTCGACGATGAAGTGGGAAAAGTGTCTCAAAATACCGCGCAGAAAGAAGGAAATGGAAAAATAAGAGCTTGGGGACAGCACCAGGAGAAGTGACACGTGTGTAATAGGGCTCCAGAGCGACAAGCAGGAACAGGGGGAGGAGAGCAATCCTTCAAGGAGAGAAAGCAGACAGCTCCTGATCTGGGGAGACGCCGGCCAGGAATGGGAGGGCTCCCTAACTGGCGGGCAGGGCCGGGGAGAGCCCTGAGCACGGACAGCAAGGCCCACAGAAGGGCGTGGCCGCCGAAGGAAGCAGAACCCACAGAATCCCATGGCCGGGCTTTGCCTCTCCGAGACGGGGACCAGGAGGGGGCTGGAAGTCAGAACAGCAATGCCCACCCCAGATCCAGCCCCAGGCGCATCCGCCTGCCTAGGATGGAGGGTGGGTTGGGAGGGGACGTTCCCCACATACAGACGTGCATGCGTGAGGTGAGAAGGAACCCTCACAGGTGAATCGGAACAGAAACCTGGAGATGAAGCAGAAACAGTGGTGAGCACTGGGATGGATCCGGATGTCTGTGTGGCCGCAGCGATGTGCTCCATAAAGGCTCCTGCACCGGCTCCTCCAGGGAGGGACAGCACAGGCCCTCTGCACACGGGCAGGGCACCGTGGGTGGTGGGTGTGGTTCCCCGTCCACAGTGAGCTGGGGCAGCCCTGTGACTGTGTCCACCAAGGGAGTATGCAGGAAGTGCCGCTGCACAAGTCTAGGGCCTCAGCCTCAGACAGGTCTGGAAGCTTCCACTCTGCACTTGCGGAGCTCTGAGCTGCCACAGAAGAGGGCAGGCACCCCGCCAGAGAGACCTTGGAGGGACCACGTGGAGAAGAGGCGCCTTCCGGGAGACCCTGCCAAGGCGCAGGGCATGGAAGGGAGCCCGCCTCCGGTCGCAGGAGAGGGGAACCAGCCCAAGAGTCACGAGATCACACAATGGCTGCTGTTTAAGCCACTAAGTGGCTTGTCACATCCTGATGGATAAGCGAGATGAGGGGAGTGAAGACATCGTGGAGGCCTCTCTGAGGCAGTGGAGAGGGGAGGGAGGGGATGTGTTGGGCTTAGGGAGGCGTGGAGGAGGACCGACATTTGATTTTCAAAAATTGAGAGAGAAATTAGTGTCTGATTATGAGACAAGGTAAAGAAAATTAACTACTAAAAGAATGGAAAGTACATAGAACTTAGATTAACAAGGAGAAAGACGGGATGAATAGCAACTTGAACAAACCAGCAAAACAAAAAAATAAATATACAGATGGAAGGAATGAAATCAAGTGTATCAGCCATTGTGCTAAATGCTAATACTGAGTTTTTCTATTAGCTGTTTTTTCTTAACACAATCTAACAGACTTTGACTTTTACCCATTCACTGTTCCTAAGAACCATTCTTACAGCAAAGTGACTTTTTAAAAAGGCTGGCATAAATGGAGTTGACTTCTGAGCAGGACGAGGGGCAATACGGCTCCCGCAGCCAGGAAACAGCCGACGCAGAGACCACAGGGGCTGTGGACGGCCCGCGGGAGCAGAGGGAGAAGCCTCCCGGGAGCCGAGGCCCCTGCCTGTCCTTCCCAGGGCACAGCCCGAGGCAGGCGACTCCGTGGGGCCGAGGGAAGCAAGCAGGGCTGTGGGAGGCCCTGGTCCTATGCTGAGTGCCGGCCCAGGAGGGAAGCCAGGGCTGCCTTGGAGAGCGAGGGAAACCTCTGCCATCTTCTGACGCGGAGGGAACAACGTTCCACCAGAGGGCGGAGCCTGGGCAAACACCAGCCAGCCTTCACCCTCCAGACTTGTGGAAGCAGAGGTGAACCGAGTCCCACTGAAGCTGCAACACAGGCTCAACCCAGCTCAGGCCCTGCCTGGATTAAGGTGATAGAATCCTTCCCTATTTATTTGCCTGACAGAAGAGAGGATGGAACAGCCCTCTTACAGGAAAGTAATTGTCTTCAGTCTCCGTGCTTCAAAAGTTTATGTACAATGTGTGGCACACAGGAAACAACGATGAGACAGTGTAATGTGATGGAAAATAAGAAAAGAGATATGAAATGGACGAGATGGGGAATTTCAACAGAGAATTGGCATCTATAAAACATACTATATCCAGCAACTACAAAATACACCCTTCTCAAGTGCACCAGAACACTGACAACGTAAGCTGTAGGTCTTCACAAGTTACAACGGATTGGACTGGTAGAATCCCACAACCAGCTGAGTAACGTGGGAGCAGACGCTCCGGCCCAGCAGGGCCTCCAGGAGAGGGCAACCTCGGGCACCAGCCTGACCGCAGCCTCGTGAGACCCTGGACCAGAAGCCCCAGCTGAGCCACCCCCAATCCCTGACCCTCAGAATTAGAGACAGAGTAAATATTTTTTTCTCCAGCTGCTGGGTTTTGGGGTAATTTGTTACACGGCAATAGAGAACTAATACATTTTCCATCTTCTTGAGTTGGAAACTTCAATTATTGATTTTACACATTTCTTCTTTTCCAACACATGCATTTAAAAGTGATAAATGTCTCTCTAAGCACAAATTAAACCCAAAGAAAGCAGAAGGAAGGGCACGCAAAGAGCAGAAATCAGTGATACAGGAAGCACACACACAACAGAGGAACTCAACAAGGCCCACAACTGTTTCTTTGAAAAAATTAACAAAATTGGTAAATCCCTAGCAAGACTGATAAGGGAAAGGAGAGCCCAAAGCAGCCAGAGTAAAAGAGGAGACGCACTTGTGGGGCCTAAAGACCTGGGACACGGGAGCGTGTCAGAAGAACTCTCCCTTTATTTTCTGAAACGTCTTTATTCCTAGTCTGGTACATGTTGACGGATACGACCCACACACACAGCGTGACCTCTGGGGTCCTCACTAGCTGTAAGCCTGTGTGGATATTCTGAAACCAAAACGTCTGCACGTCACCCACTTGGCCCCTGGGCCAGGGCTCAGGGAGGCGTGTGACACGAGGTCTCCACGCAGGAGGAGGGGGTCAGGGCAGAGGCCCAGGTCACCAGGTGGGCGCAGCTCTCAGGGTCTCTGGTGGGTCTTCCTCCACCCTCCCTTCCCTCTCCACTGCCTCAGAGGAGGCCTCTCCAGTGTCTTCGCTCCCACCTGTCTCAGTTACCTACCGCCATGTGACAACCCACTCAGTGGCTTAAACAGCAACCATTTTGTGATCCATGACTCTTGGCTTGACTGGGCTGGTCCTCCTGTGGTCGGGGGCGGGGAAGCCCAGTTTGGGGAGTCCCATCTCCCTGAGTTTCACTTCTCTCGCTCACAACCTGTGTCAGGTGCTCCGGCATGGACGTTCACGACGGGGCCCCGGCTCTTACTCCCACCACGAGTCTGGTTTCTAGAAGCCAGCAGCGTCACTGTGGTTTCCAGTTATAGAGTCCACACTGACCAGTGGGGCTCAGAGTCTCCCCAGACCCCGAGGATGTGGGTCAGGGCGCCCCCAACCCTCTCCTGTGCTCTCGGTGGTCCTGGCCCTGACGGGTGAGTGTGGGGCCAGGAGGAGCGAGAGGACTCCCAGACACCCATCTACCTCAGACCTAGGGACCCCACTCCCTGAGCAGGCAGGGCGTTGGGACCTTCCGAGGGGGCCTGAACACCCTGAGTGGCTACTACAACCAGAGCGAGGCCGGTGAGTGATGCCGGCCTGGGTCCAGGTCACCTGAAGAACTTAATGCTATAAATTTGACGACTTGGATGAAATGGAAAAATTCATTAAAAACATATTTACCAAAATTGACACAAAAAGAAATAGAAAATCTGAATAATCCTACATCTGTTAAAGAAATTGAATCAAAGATGTTTTTAAGATCAAAGCCTTATTTAACATTCAATCAGACCTTCAGGGCAAGAGACTAAGTCGGAATCTGAATAGCCTGGTGACGACGTTATTAAACGGCTGATCTGCGGTAGGAGGGTCCGGGGAACCTCCAGGGGCAGGGGTGCACCCTGGCTGCATCTCACCGCCCCACGTGCTGGGTGAGGCCAAAGGAGAACCCCACTGCTGGGCGTGAGGAGGGTGAGCTCCCCAGCCCTCGGGCGGGGACCCCTCCCTCCCAGGCAGAGATGGAATGAGGGGACTTCGGACCTGGCAGGAATTGGTGAATGGCCTCCCCCTACAGTAAAATGAGGAAGTTACTGAAGCTGTGATTATATTCGTGACCAAGGTGGCAAGGTGCGCAGAGGGGGAGGGGCAGGCGCTGACATCCAGAACATTCTGTCAACTGGATTGGCTGAAACGTGTCGACAGAAATGAAAACCACGTGGCTTGTTTACAGCAGTCTCTTTCTTCTAAAGCAGCTTAAACCTTTTACAGCCTCAGAAAAAGCAACACAGATGAAAAACGATAGGCTGTCTGTGAAATAAATCGTCAGAACTACACTGGATCCCAATATCCACCCTCCCCCCACCACACACACAAGACGACACCTGAGAGAGGAGACTGAGTGCTGAGCCGAGCTTCCAGGCTGAAGACGTCTCAGTCGGTACAGGTGGCACCTTGCCGTTAGCACCTGTCAACTTTTTCAGATTCTTAGTATTTCACGTTAAAAAATATATTCTGAGGCTGTGATGCAGATGGCCGAAGGGAAAGCTTCCCAGAGAGAGTTGAGAATTGATGATTTTTGTTCAAGGTTGATCCCAATTTTAGTTTCATTACTTGATCCTGTAGCGTTCTGGCCTTGTGGGAGAAGAGGGGATAAAACTTAGCCAGGCAGGCCGGACCCGGAAAGGCATCGCACCCCTGGCTCCCACAGGCTGGTCCCTGTGAAGTGAGCAGCGTCGTCCCCGGGCCCGGAGCCCACCTTCCTGGAGGCGCCTGCTCACCATGGCCCCTCCGTGGTACAGACAGCTGAGCCCACCCTACCTCCCTGGTGAGGATGGCGACCTCTCCAGGAGACACAGGGGCTGCTCCTCTCGGAGTCCCCACCAGGGCCCACCCAGGTGTCCACGCATACAGCCATCTGAATAATGGCAGCCAATGAACGGACAAAGGGAAAATCAGGCTCTCCTGCTCACATTGCCACAGCCAGCATCATCCCAGGTGGCTTGTCAGCAAACCTCCCCAACCACGATCCCACCTGAGACTCACACCTGCCCTGCAAGGGTGGGGCCCCCACTGCCACCCTGACACACAGACACAGAAACTGCCGAGCTGGAATCAGGTGCAGGCTTTCTGCTCCAAATCCCATGTTCCCCAGCCAATCTGCCAGGCCAGAAAACGGTGAAACGGAGAATGAGGCACCACGGCACTCCGGTGGGACAGAATGGACAGCAGCTAGGAACAGGCTCCTTCCAGCCTCTGCCTCACGAGAACTCAGCCAGTGGGCACTTGTGTCTCCTGTGCTGTGCTGGGACCTCCCTGGCCCCAAGGACGGGGCTCTTCTCTCCCCTCCTCCCTCCTTCTCCCCCGCCCCCCGACTCTGTTCTGTCTCCCTGGGGTATAACCTGGACCCCCACCTCTGGCCCAGGCACCCGAGACTCCAGCAACCCCTCCTTCCCTAATACAGATCCATCACAATTGTGGCCCAAATTAACACTCAGGTTTATGTCGCTATGACAAGGTAAATATTATTTCCTGCTAACTCAAAAAGCATCCATTGGTTACATTTCCTTTCCCACAGAAATCTGTATTCTTTGTGGAATTTGTAACTGCTCATTTAAAACATTTACCTTGTTTTCTCCACACCTGTCACTGAACACTCCCAGACGTGACTCCCCTCCACCTTCCTCTCCCTTGGTCAGTCCTCAGACCCACCTGTCTCCCCTGGAGGGACCCTCTGGGGCCCTGGCTGGCTGCAGCCTGGGGGCTCCTGGCCACTCTCTCGGGTCAGCTCCCTTTTTCCGGAACACTTGCTTCCTGTTCTCGGTCCAGCCCCTTGTTTTGGGAGAACACGTCCTGTAGCAGCTTCCAGAGAAGGCTGCAGAGGAAGTAAGTTCTCGAGTCCTGGCCTTCATTCTGCGCTGGCGCCTGTCCCCCCACCCACGTTCCTGCCGCCCTTCTCTCCTGCCCCTCTGTGTGTGGCCCACTTCCTCCCTGCAACCTCACGGGCCTCCTCCTGGCTCAGCACGCAGAGCCCGGTGCTGGGCACGTGGCCGGCCTCCCAATCTGGACACACATGCCTTCATGAAAACCTTTTTGTATCTTCTTGACTCCTCTCTCCCCTGGATCTGCCCGGCGCCTCTTCCCAGAATACCTGCCCGTCAGGGGTCAGCCCTTGGGTCAATCCTCCAGTTCATCTATTTCTGTCTCTCCTTTTCCTTTTGTTCTAGTTCCTGGGGGACTTACTCAACTTCATCTATTGATTTAAGAGTTTTAGTTTTAAAAAATTTTTGCCATTTTTTAACATCTCCAAGAGTTCTTGGTTATCTGAGTGTCCTGTTTTCATAACAACTTGTTTCGTGGGAGCAATATTTTCTATTATCACTCAGAGTATTTTAATTCTCATTTTTAATTTCTAATTTGTGTCCAACGATGCCTCTATTTCTTCCACGCGCACATTCCCAGGTGGTCTGTTCTACTCTCTCCTTCCTCCAAGGCTGTGTGATCCCAGGCTCCTGTTCGTACTCCAGGAGGAGGCACTAAAACGAGGGTTAAATACTGTGGGTGTCGGTGGGCGGGGTGTTAGCTGGGCGGCGGCCTTGTCGGCCAGGTCAGGATGGGGACTCCCGAGTGTCAGGACTCTTTGGTCATCTGTCCTGGTCAGTTGATTTCTCTAGAGAGGACCCTCCTGGCTCTCAACTGGAGAGACGCGCTGGGCCCCCAGCACCGAGAGCAGGCCTGAGCCTCACCAGCTCCGCGCTCCGGAAAGCATCACGTGGCCTTATGTCCGACGGGTGCCTCCTCCTTCAACCTCTCTAGAGACCACACTCCAAGCCTCCTGCTGGGTGGCCAGGGGTCAGCAGCTGAGCAGAGTAGGGCAAGGAGGAGAGCCTGGGGCCTCATTTGACGTTCTACAGACTTGCAACTCTCGATATTTAGTTTCACAGTGCTGTGGAGTTGGCTTCTTGTTGGCATTCCTCTCAGCTGGCCCTTACACTGCATCACTAGGCGGCTTTCTCCCCAAAGCACACTGCCCTGAGTGTGGGTTAGGACACAGGTTCAGCAGCTGTAACAGAGACCCAGATGATGGTGGCTGAACACCAGGTGGAGTGGCTTACCTGAGAGGGCGGCTCTCAGTGTTGGAGACTGTTAGTCGTTCCTCAATCCACGGCTTTCAGCTCAGGGTCTGAGATGGCTGCCCCAGCTCCTGCCATCATGTTTGCATTCCAGCCACAGGGAGGGGAGCCCAGGAAGTTCATGCACATTTCCTACTCACATCCTACTGGCCAGGATGTAGTCACATGCCCTGTGTAGCTGCAAGGGAGGCTGGGAGGCGTGGCCTTTAGTGGCGTGACCTGTGCTTTCTCACAAATGGCAGCAGAAGGAGTTGGCCTCTCTCACAGGCAACCGGCTCCTCTCCGTTTTCTCTGTCCTGAGGAGTCGGTATCATTTTGTCCCTTTCCCATTGTTCTGGTGCGTCTCCGGGCAAACTGAAGACTAACCCATGTGCACAACGGGCCTGCATACCTGGAAGGGCTGGTCTGCCGGCTGCTTGTTTCCAACACATCCTTCTCACCAGCCTGGCCTTCCTTGGCTCTCTCACCACTGCATCCATTGCATCGCAGATGGCGGTCCCATCTCACGTGAGCTCCTGGCCGAGGCGCCTGCCTTCTCCCATGGCTGTGGGGAACTCCTCACTGACGTGTGCACGGCGCTCGGGGCACCCACAATGCCTGTGCGCAGCGCTGTGCAGGGGCCCTGAAGGAAACACAAGGGGAGGGGAGGCAGGCTGGACAAGACACCTCTGCTTCCAAGGGATTGAGTGGGAGCTTGTGTTGTTACGTCCCCTGGACGTGTCCACGTGTCTCACCCACCGCCTGCCACTTTGGGCTGCGGCCACCAGCTCGCCCCGCGGGGCCGCCGTGCCCCCTGTGGACGGGGCCAGGGCTTCGGTTCCGGGGCTGCTCCAGGGTTTGCAGGCTTCAGAGGACGGGCTTGGGTTAGCCCAGATGCCCAGGGCCTGGGAGCTCTGCAAGGGACAGCGGCTCTCCTCCTGGAGGTAGAGGGACAGGCCCCCCTCAGATCTGATGCAGGCAGAGCTGAAGCCATCCTCTCCACAGGACTCTACAAACACGGTCACTACCCGGGCTAAAGGACACAGCACTTTTCTTTTTGGCTAGTGGTCCTGTGTGGACGGCATAAAAAAAGACGGCCGCTTGAGATGGATGGGCCTATAGGAGACTCAGGTCCTCAGAGGACAAATTTCAGAAAACACAATGAGAATTAAGAACATCTCCTGAAATAAACCTATCAGATGGCGCCACCACGCCCGCCTATGCATCCCCCGTCTCAGGGCACCCTTCACGTCCAGCTGTGCTCCGTGGCCTGGACCTCGTGTCCAATGTACTGAACTTGAAAACATTGTAACACTGGCTGGGCTGGTCCTGAACGGAGTCCCACGTGGAGGTGAAGAGCGTCTTCTGTGTAGATTTTTCCTAACACGGAAATCACTGCCCAGCCGTGCGGTCGGGCCCTGCTAGAGGCAAGCGGTGCGCAGCAGTGGGGTGGAGCTGCCCGGACAGCTGCCACCACTTGGAAGAATATGAGAGTGTGTCTCAACACTGCAAACTTCCACCAGGCAAGAGCTGTCGCTCCCCAACTGCAGTCCTCAGAACCTAAAACTCCCGCCCTTCTCTGGCTCTCCTGACGCCAGGACGTGCAGTGAGGGAGGCAAAGGCCACGCGCACACTCCGGTCTCCACGCCAGCATCGGCCTCTGAAAGCCCAAGGCTGAACCGACCATGTCGCAGAGGGAAGCGGCACATCCCACTCCTCTCTGGACCTCTGAGTTACCTGTGAGCCAGGCCCTCGGCAGCAAGCCGGTGTTACCGACCTGAATACTTCTTAAGAAACTTGACGTGGAATTTTTTTTAGTCACAGAAAAGCAGAGAGAGGCTTTAAAGCCTCAGGTAAACTCTCAGCGGCTCACGTCCCCAAGGGAGCAGCACGGAGCTGGAACACAGGCTCTGGATTCAGACAATCTTGGGTCGTCTTACAGGCCAGCACTCATGTGACCTCGGGCCAGTCACCTCATCTCCTTGGGTCTCAGTTTTCTGACCTGTGACGTGGGGAGCCACCGCCTTCGTGGTGTGGTAGTTGTGAAAGTGAGTGAGGAGACGCACCGGCGCAGGAGCAGGCATCGAGACCAGCCGCTGTGGCTTCATTTGTGCTCACTCCCCTTTGGTCCACTGACTCTCGGTCTCCGGGGTGGCAGGGCACTCTGAGCTCCTTCCTTGGGGAAGGGGGACACAGGGGAACAGTGCGGAACACAGCAGCCAGCGCTCAGGTTTCAGTTCCAAAAGAGACCTTTTTAAAGTAATAGACTTTACTTCTATAGTTTCCATCATCGACCAGATGGTGCATTTGTTACAACCGAAGAACCAAAAGTGACACATCATCATCACCAGAGTCCACAGTTTACATGAGGGCTCACTCCTGCTGTTGTACATTCTGTGGGTTTGGACAACTGTATAATGACACGTACCCACCATCACAGAATCATACAGAGGAGTTTCACTGCCCTAAAAGTCCTCTGTGCTCCATCTACTCGTCCCTCTCTCCCCACAACCCCTGGCAACAATTGATTTTTTCACTGTCTCTACAGTCTTGTTTTCCAGAATGTCATATAGTTGAAATCACACAGTATGTAGCTTTTTCAGATTAGCTTCTTTCACTTTGTAATATGCATTTAAGGTTTCTCCATGTCTTTTCATGGCTTGACAACTCATTTCTTTTTAGCACTAAATAATATTCCATTGTCTGGATGGACCACAGTTTATTTATCCATGCTCCTACTGAAGGACATCTTGGCTGCTTCTAAGTTTTGACAATTATGAATAAAGCTGCTATAAACACCCATGTGCAGGTTTTTGTACAGACAGGTTTTCAACCCTTTTGGGTAAATGCCAAGGAGCATCACTGCTAGATTGTATGGTAGTATGGATTGTATTTGTCGTTTTCCTCATATAGATTTTGTACACATTTTGTTAGATTTATACCTAGCACCATTTTTTTTTTGGTGCTAACGTAAATGGTATTGGGTTTTTAATTTCAAATTCTACTTGTTCATTGCTGGCATATAGTAAGTGATTGACTTTTGTATATCAACCACGTATCCTGTAACCTTGCTATAACCCCTTATTAGTTCCAGGAATTTTTTTGGTTCATTCTTTGGGGTTTTCTACATGGACAATCATGTCATCTGAGAACAAAGTTTTCTCTCTTCTGTCTTAATCTGTATACCTTTTATTTCCTTTTCTTGACTTACTGCACTAGCTATGACTTCCAACATGATGTTGAAGAGAAATGGCGAGAGGGGACATCCTTGCCTTGTTCCGGATCTTACCGAAAAAGCATCTAGTTTCTACCATTAAGGATGATGCTAGCTGTAGTTTCTGTAGATGTTCTTTTTCAAGTTGAGGAAGCTCCCCTCTATTCCTAGTTTGCTGCGAGTTTTTATCGTTAATGTGTGTTGGATTTTCTCAAACGCTTTTTCCGCATCTATATGACTGTGATTTTTCTTCTTTAGCCATGATGTGATGGATCACATAAGCTGATTTTCGAATGTTGAACCAGCCTTGCACACCTGCGATAAATTCCACTTGGTCGTCATCTATAATTCTTTGTATGCACTGTTGGATTTGATTTGCTAATATCTTGTTGAGGATTTCTGCATCTATGTTCATGAGGTATCCTGGACTGTAGTCTTCCTCTCATGTAATGTCTTTGGTTTCGGTAATACAGGCCTCACAGAATGAGCTATGAAGTATTCCCTCTGCTTCTATCTTCTGGAAGAGACTGTAGACAGCTGGTATAATTTCTTCCTTAAATGTTTAGTAGAATTCACCAGGGAACCCATTGGAAAGTTATTAACCATTGATTCAATTTCTTTAACGGATATCGGCCTATTCAGATTGTCTATTTCTTCTTGTGTGAGTTTTGGCAGATGGTGTCTTTCAAGGAATTGGTCCATTTCATGTAGGTTATCAAATTTGTGGGCACAGAGTTGTTCATAATACAAAGCAGACTTTTGAGTCCATAATCTGAAGCAGTGGGTTGAGATCAGATGTTCAGAAGCCCTGAGAGGTAGGATTTTGGGCGTCCGAGGACGAGATTACAGGCATAAATGACAGATTTGGAGAGAACAAAGGCTTACCTGAGGCAGGGAGAATTCTCTGGGCTGGGAAGGAAAAGGGTCTGAGAAGAGGGGCCGAGTCTGACAGGTGGGGTCTCTGTAAAGTGGCCCGCCCCGCCTGCGCTCCTCCCTCCCCCATCCCTGCCTGGGCCCCAGCAAGGAGGGGACAACAGCGACGGAGCCCTCAGATGGGGTGTGGGGATGGTGCTGCAGGCTCTGGGGGCACAGCCCAGCACCACCCAGATCCAAGCTGCTGTATCAGGGTGTGACATGTGGATCTGAACCACCCCACGAGCCGGGGCCTGGACGGTCCAGGAGAACAGGCACGTTTTCCTGTGGCTGTGACAAGCGAGGGCACACAGGCACCAGAGGTGGGCTTCTCCGGACTCGTTGAGGGCAGTGGGTTCCTTTCCCCAGCTGGGTGGACTGACTGCGTCACTCAGGGTGGGAAGGAGTCTTCCTTGATCCCTGCGTGAGTCTCATAATCCCAGATATCCGGACACACGGCGGGCGTGTGTCAGCATCTGTGGGACAGACGGATGGACGCTGCCAGCAGCTGGGTGAGGAGACATCAACCTTCCCACGCACGGACACAGGTGCGTCAGCACGCAGCCCAGCTGCAGCCCAGACCTTCTCCGCAGCGGCATCCCTCACGGCCCCGCCAGGCTCTGCTGGGCAGAAGCGTCAGGTGAGGACCCCACAGACACGGCCGGTCTCCACTGATAAAGCAAGGACCGCTGCTGGGGACCCATCGGGTGGCACACAGCTGAAGGCTCACATGCTGTGATCCTCTGACCAACCGTAATTCTGGAACGTTCCACGCTGCAGGCACATAAAACACCTCCCCACAATGTTAGAGAACATGTGCTCTGAAAAGGCATAGCAAGTTCCCTTTGATTTTGAATAGAACAATTTATTTTTAAATGGAGCTGACAAATACTTACGATTTCCAAATCCTGGGTAGCCTTCCTTATTTCCTCGAGTGGTGCCACCCCTCGAAATCTTTTTCTTTGTTCGTGCATTTGCTGTATGTGCTGCTTTAGCTGTTCTTCTAAATTCCCCTCGTGGAAGGCACTGAGAAAGCAAAGGGCAATGAGGAAATGATTTTACACGTTTAGTGCAGTCCTAGGCTCGTATGCCCTCCTGATGCGGTGACAACAAGGCCACAGAGGCCACCTGCCCCCTCCCCTCCAGGTGCCGGCTCACAGACAGGCCCAGGCCGCCTCTGCCACCCCTTCTCCTTAATTTAAAGCTGCTAGAACACACACTTTATTTTAAAAACTTCAAGTTCATTTAAGATATTACACATTTGGGACAATGCATATTGTGCCACACGAAGGAGAAGAGTGTGTCTTTGTTTTTATATGAAATACTGTTAATAAATCCTCAGAAGAGGAACAGAACGTTGTATTACATCAGGCACACACTCACACACAGAGGTCTAGTCTGGGGTTGGTCTTTCTAGACAAGGCCTCAGAGCAGTTGAGGAAGGATGGGGGCAATCAGCGGTCATTCCCGGGGTGCAGATGCTAGATCGCTACCCACACGTGAAGCTGGGAAAACCAAAGAAATGCTCGCTGATGAGGTTAAAGGGTTAACATGTCAGGACCCCAGAGCAGCTGCTGCTCCAGGTGGAGAAGGGCGTCTAGGGGCTGAGGGGACATAAGTGGGAAGTGATAACTGGACGGCTGGCCACAGGAGCTCCCTGAGGGCAGGGACTGCATCCTTCCCGCTCTCCGTCCCCATCCTGTCCCTGAAGCCACCACGTGCCTGGCCCTCCAGGAGGCGTTCAGCAGGTGCCGGGGGAGCAGCCACACCTGGCAGCGGGGGGACTGAGCCCTGGAGGCTGGGAACAATCCCGCTTACTGACCTTGCTTCTCTACTTGCTGGCGACGATTTCTCTCTGCTTTGTCTCGTTTTTCCAGATGGATTCTTTGGTATTTTCTCATTATCCATCAGATCTGTGGCAAAGGGAATCTTTGATCCCACCTAGGAAAACATAAGATGCTTTCAGGATCCAAGAAAACACTGCCGTCAACACAAAATGTCTGCCAGGCGTGTCACACGGCTCCTCGTCCGCGAGGGGATCAATGACCGGCTGTCCAGAGGAGACCGTTCTTCACACACCGCGGCCATCAGCCTGGGGCCTCGGCTCCCTCACACCCCCACCTTGGGCCTCTGCCTGGACGTCTTTGCGGAAGCCATCACGGCAGCTGGGGTCAGGGGGCATGGTGCAGAGCGTGGGGACATGGGGCGGCCTGCCCTGGGTAACACCCACTGGAAATTCTGTCAGCACAACACACAGAAAACACACTATCTACAGTGGGCCCACGTCTTTCAGACAAATGTGACTGTACTTTCAAGTCACTAAGTGTCAAGCTATTGCAGAAGTGCTAACACATAACTGACCAACAAAGCGAGAAAGCAGAAAGTCTTGTAGGTAGAAAGCTGCATCATAAACCCATCGGTCTTGGATCAATGACATGATGAACTGGCACAAATAAACTCTGAAAACTTACGAGAAATACTTCAGTGTTGGTTTTTGATAAAGACCACTGTGACTCCACGTGACTTCCACATGTAAACAGGCCACGTTACAGCTCAGCTTTACCCCGTTCACCAGGCATCCACCACCCCCACGGCGAGAAGCAGCGCCACCTGCTCCAGTGATCCCAGAGCTCTGGATGGCAGGTCTCAAACAGGTCAACAGCCTGCTGCTCTTGCCCAGTGTCTCCTAAACAACATTTTCTTGGCCCTCCCCAACAGGCTACGGAGAGCCAAGAGCCCCCTGAGGCTGCGGGTCAGAGGTCTTCCTGGGTGTGGGCAGTGGCCAGAGAGGCAGAGGGTGGACAAGGGTGACGTCAGGGGCAGAGGGAGACAGGGGAAGCCCTCTGTAAGAATCCACAGACCGTTTACATTTATTTTGAAAACAACGAATTCCTTAAACTTTGCACAAACTGTTTGAACAGCACTACAAATGCTAGAAAGCTCGTTGTTTCTGAGACCTGCAGACATCGCACTGGACTTCTAGTTGCCTGGACTTGGTGTCTCATCCACCTCCTCAAGGTGCCGTCCTCCGACTCCAGCCTGACTCCTCTCTTTCTCTGTAGTCCCTATCCACTGGGTTGCCTTTCTGGAATGTTCCTTTCCCCTCCTCCCACCTTGGGCCACACCTGGATGTCTGGTTGGTGCTCCGGGCTCTCCTACACAGCGTCCTAACCAGTTTCTGCCCCCCGCCCCCGACTTCTTGGCTCCCGCCCATCCTGCGCTCTCATACTGGGTGAGCTTTTCTACGCCCCTTTGGGTGTAGTCCTGTGCTGCCGAAGGATCTTGGATACCCCCACCCCTGGTGCACAAGCCTGAGAACCAGACTGATCCCCTCCCACCTCAAGGAGCTGTACATTTGTGTGTGCACCTGTGCGTGTGCACTTGAGTGTGCGTGTGTACTTGTGTGTGTGTGCGTGTGCGCGCGCGTCTGCTTGTGCGTGTCAGGGCAGCACAGCTGCTGTGAGAGGAGAGAGGGCACACCTCTCGGGGCATGTGAAAGCCAGACAGAGGGAGAGACAGGGCGAGTGTGGGTGTGGGGAGTGTGGCAGGTATTGAACCTCCTGCCAGGGGCTCCCCCGCTGGAGCCTGGTGGCATCAACGCAAGCGCTCCCCTAGATTGTCTCATCTGCCAGGTCACCTCTACGTGGATTACCAGGGCGGGACCTTGTCTGTCTGTGTCATCAGTTCCACCCTAGCACAGGCTTGGCTCTTAAGAGGCGCTTAATGCCTGGGAAGGGTGGGAGGGAGAGGGGGAGGGGAAAGGGAGAGGACGGAGGGAGGGGGGAGGTAGAGGAGGGAGAAGGGAGGGGGGGTGGGAAGAGGATGGGAGCAAGAACCGCCTTCCAACCCTTTCCTCTACCCCACCTCCCATGACGCTGCCAGGCTGCGGACACAGCAGAATCAAAACTATCTGCCGACTGCCTGAGAGCTGGCACACTTTCAGTTAATCAGGATTCTCCTAAACATTATTCCAACAGAAAAAGAGAACAAACGCTAAATCCAGCAGGTGTTATTTTTTAAGTCAGACATTTGATTTTATTAAATTAAAAAATATTAAAAGTATATGATTTGGAAAGAAGCACCCCTAGCCATATTTTACTTTTACTAGAAAATACAGAGAAGGGCGATTTACCAAATACCACTCTTCTGATGAGAAAGCAAAGAAGCACAAACATGGAGCCGGAGAACGAGGAGCAACACCGCCCTTTCAGTCCCCGAGAGCCGAGTGGCGCCCTCTGGTGTCCCCTGCCCCCTGCAGGGGGCCCGCGCAGGCTCCCAGCCCCTCCTGCGGGGACGGAGACGCCATGCGGCCACGTGCACCTGTGGACACGCAGACTCTGGTCTTCATCTGTTCACATGTGTCTCTGCAGACGACGCTGAAACCCACAAGTGCACGTCTCTGTACGTGCACGCTTACGATCTGATTGCTTCTGTTTCTGTAAGATGCTCTACCAAAAGTGTTCACAGAAACGTGTGTTTTTAATCTTAATAGATATTTCCTGAGAAGTTGAAGCAGCCAGGGCAGCAGTGACCGGGCGCACCTCACCTCACAGCCCTTCCCACCCTGAGTCACAGTCTCTCCTCTCGGCCACCCTAGCACGTGACACCCCGTGCCTCCTGAGCGGGCGAGCACTGTCACCTATCTGTCGCATTTAGGCCCCCTCCTCTGTGAACTGCCTGTCACACTCTTCACCCATTTTTCTATTGGATTCTTTGATTTTTAAAAATCTATTTGTAATCATTCTTCATATTTTAGATAGTAACCTTTTGTCACAAATATATGTCACAAATATTTTCCCGTGTCTTTTGACTTTGACTATAGTATTTTAGGAAATACAAAATATTTCAGTTTTATAAAGTAAAATTTTTCTATTTTTAGTTTCAGAGCTTCTGGGTTTCCTATTTCACTTATGAGGCTTTGCGCTACTCCAGGTTATAGAAATATTCCTAAATTTCCATGCTATAAAACATAATAACTGAGTTTCTACGTCATACACAAATTCTATAGAATGGGACAACCTTCTTGCAGAGTACCACGGAACTCACGTTTCTAATCAGAATAAACCACACACAGCAGGAGAGCAGCTCCCACAGTCCCACCTCCGGGCACAGACGCAAAAGATCTGGACGCAGGTCTTGAAGAAGCATATGGGTGGGAGCAACCCAAGGGCACAAGGATAAATGGACAAGCAAAACGTGGTCTGTGCACGCGGCAGGACAGTATCCAGCCTTGACGGAAATTCTGGCCCAGGCTACAGCACTGAGGAATCTTGAGGACGTTACGCTTGGTGAAATAATCCAGACACAAGGACAAATGCTGTGTGATTCCACGCATATGAGGGACCTAGAGGAGACAGATTCATGGAGACA